GGGAGGCCGATCACAGGCGGCGCTCYGGCCGGGATTGGAAAGCGGCCGCATGGCTCCCAAGGGGCCCGCAGCGAGGCGAGGCGCGCCACACGGCTTGGAACTGCACGGCTTGGAGCGCGCGGAGCTTGGAGCTGCACAGCTTGGCGCGCGCACGGCACCGTGTCCAGAAGGCTTGGGAGCGTGCAGGGCACCGCGGCCGCACGGTACCACTCCAGCAGCCCTCCCTGCGCCTCCTTGGGCAGGCAGTGCCCTCAGGGAAGCTGCCCAGCCCCAGGGCACTCACCAYTCCCAGGGCTCCCCATCGCCCTTCCCCAGGCGCGGCCACGCTGTCCCAGCTGAAAACAACCGAGGGCAAAACCGCCAAAATCCCAACCTGTTCCCCAGGGGCAGGACAAAGCGCTCCCGGACCAGGATCCCCTGCAAGCAGCAGCCTCATCCTGTGCCAAAGGCCCCGGGCACGCATGGGTAACGCGGGCTGCCGGCACCGAGGGCRCTCGTGGCACGCACGGACTGCGCCGCACGGCAGCTCCGCGCAAGAGCAGCCCAGCACGCCCAGCACCAAGGGTGGGGACCAGTTTGGTGGCTTGAAAGTAGTGCTTAGAGGTCAGAGAAACAAACAAAAATAAGCACCATGGTGCTGGACTGCAGAGCCACTTCTGCTGCRCTGTGCGCTGCGGGCACCAGTGACTGGAGAGATCAACCCAAAAGCCAGGGAGGAGACAGGTCTCCAGGGCCACCCGTCCCCCTAGACCCTGCACAGGAGCCCAAAGCCGCATGAGTCGCCCAGGGTCACCCCTGGATCCCCCCCCAGGACAGACCCTCGGGAACACAGGGCCGGCCCCAGCCAGGGGCAGGGTCCTCCTCCCGCCAGCACGAGCGGCTCCCCTGCATCTCCAGGGGACGGACACCCTGCAAACAAGCAGGGAGCGCAGGGATGCGTTGTGTGGGGCTTTGAGTACCTCGTGACTCCAAAACACCATTTATTTCAGACAAACTGGCCTTGCTGGAACTGCAGCGTGGGACACAAACGGGTCAGCCCTGCGCTCTGGGGCTCCTCCGGACTCGCCCTGCCAGATTCCCTCCTCGTTTTATCCATCCAGGAGCATTTGCCCATGATGGAGCAGCAGGGAGCCCGCAGCACCCGCAGCCCTGCGGGCCGGGCCGGGCCCAGCGCCGCTCGCCGCGCTCGCACATGGAGCAATCCCGGGATGCGCCTGCCCGGCTGCCGGCACCTCTGCTCCGGGGCTCCGCACTCGCAGAAACTTCCTGAATAATTCATGCATGGTGTAGGAGGCAGAGAGGCAGATGTCTGCAAGAAAAGCAGGTCACGGAGTAAAGGAAGCACTCATGGAAGACGGGAGAAATAGGGACAGATAATCTCCTTCTGAAACAATTATGATGATTTCTATGATCATTCTATTCTATGATTTGTACACAAACTTGAGAGAGGCCCCAGACACCACAGGACGCTCGGCAAGACCTGTCCTTCAGCACAGGTGGATTATTTTTGAACTCTTTGTTTGCTTTTTAATGAAGCTGCCTGGAAAGGAAGCTCCCAGCCGGCAGCACCACTCCCTTTGCACCTCCACACAGGGCAAAGGCAGGATGGCCGCAAAAGGCCCCTGCACCAAGTCCTCGAGACACCCTCTCTGGTGCATCCAGCCAAGGCTCAGCCCAGCACACAGGGTGTGCAGGAGCGCGAGCAGGAGCAGCGAGGAAGGCTCCTTCTCCTCATCCCCGCGGCACAGCGGCTCTTGGCCACGCTGCCGGCCCCACTTGCTCACTCCAGGTGCAGGAGAAGCCGGCGCTGCCCTCCCAGCGCCCACCTCCAAACGGAGAGGATGCGGAGCAGCCACGGAGATGCGAAAGGAAGGAAAATGCRTGGGGACATTGCCAGGACTTGCAATGATCACAGTATCGAACTGCCTCCCTTGTGCTGGGATCCAGACACCTATGGGCTCCTGTGCCCTGCAGGAAACACCCTGCGCGAGAAGCCTGGCAGCCACCCCGACCCGCCGGTCACCCCGACCTGCCCGCCGGGCACTGCCGCCTCCACGGCCGGGCAGGAGCCTCCGGATCGAGGAAGGGTCTCCGGGCCGGGCAGGAGCCTCCGGGATCGAGGAAGGGTCTCCGGAGCATCCGAGGCAGCGCTGGCCATGGGACGTCCCAGCAGCCCCTCCAAACACACACTCCCCAAGCCAAACACAAGCACAGCCCTTAAACCACCCCCCTGATAAGCAAGCGAGCACCGCGCTCGTTATCAAGACTCATCGCCGGTTAGGCCCTTCGGCGAGTGCAACTCGCAGCAACCACAGCGCAGCAGAGCAGYGGCAGCACCTGCCTAGGTCAAACACCACCTAAAGATGGTCCCGCTCATTTGGATTCCCAGGGAAAGCGCTGGGCCAAACCCTGCGCTTGCCCAAGGTTCCCACTTCACTGAACAACGTGATGGAATCGCTGCAAATCATCAGCAGCAGCAGCACGAGTGACTCTGTGAGGTTTAACCAAAGCACAGGGGAGGATAAAAAGGATGCACAGGCAGCAACACCCCAATTCTCTTTCCAAACCTGTGGCAATCGCAGAGGAAGAGTGGCGCATCCCGGGCCGGCTCGCCAGGACGCCGGCTCCACAAGCCCTCCTAGGGAAGCGCTTTGCRGAGCTGTCTTTGAGGACCTGGCCGTGCCCGTGTCCCCACGCACATGTCCCTGCATGCACACAACGYGCCTGCTGCTGCTAGCAAAAGGCAAAGGTGCCACGAAGCCCGACTTGCAGGCAGAGCCTTTATTATCCACGCCCTTAGCCGCTGTCTCCTCGCCTCCCGGAAACCTACGGAATAAACTCCCAGTGCCCTTGGAGGAATTAAAATTTAATCCAAGAATGTATTCAATAGAGGCTAGAAAACAATTCAGTTGTAAAAACATCCTTATCTTCAGAGAGCAGTGAACTTTCTTCCTGTCCCAAGGCAGACAAAGTCTTTGCAGCTTGGGCTAGTGAAAGTCTGCAGTGCAGGACCGTGCCGTTCCGCGTGCCGGGAATCACGGCAGCTGTCCCACACGGTGTAGGAGAGCCGGGGATCCCCTGGAAGCGCACGCAAGGGCACACGGCAACCCAAATGAGCCGGCGGATGCAAATACCGCCAGAGAGAGGCAGGTCACACCCATGGAGCGCACCAAAAAGCACCGGTGCAACCCAGCACACCCGGAGCGACCGCCCCGGCACAGCCGCCTTCCCAGGGAAATTCACTCAACCTGCGCTTGACCCGTCTGGAGAGCTTAGAAACAAATGTCAGGACCCTCAATTCAGTGTAAAATGYATCTCCAGTAAATAAACACAGCACTGACGTGTTCCCAAATGAAATGAATCCCCCAGAAACAGCCAGGCTGTATTGCAGCTCGTAAGGAAACAGCGCACAAAATCCTCCCACCTCAGACATGCATAACAATAAGCCTACGAGTGCAGGGKTTTTTTTATTTGTTTGTTTTTTAACCCAAAACGTGAAGAACTACTGCACCGGGGAGGWTGCAATTCCGGACCTGCAGGACGAGGCTGTCAGCGTGCGGGGCTCGCGGCGGCGCTCGCGGGCTGGGCGCACGGGGCACAATCCCGGCAGCTGCAGCTTGCGCTCCCAGCGCCCGTGCCAAAGCGGCAGGAACGTCACCCATCCCCGTGGCGCGGCCGGTTATCCCTGCCGGGGCATCCCAAGGGGCCGCGGGCRCGCGGGATGCGCTCGCTGTGTGCGCGCAGCATCCCTGTCCTGCTCTGGCGGCCCCGCTGGTGGGCGAGGGGCAATCGAGGGCAGGCGGAACAGAAGCGGGTGGGGAGGTCGGCCAGCGCGCGCTCCGCTCGCCCGGCGTGCGGAAAGCAGCAGCACCCGGGCCGCCTCACACGGAGAGACCAGCCTAGAAACCCCGAACCAGCTCAGCGGGGAGCTGCGGAAACGCGACGGCCGAGCTGCAAACTGCACCTGCTGCAACAGCCCYCACGGCACTGCCCGGCCACGGGAACCTCTGGAGCCTTCTGGCCCCACACGGGGGTAATTCAGTGCATTCGTGCGAAGGACGACTCGGGGTACAGAGCAGTGCTGAGAGAAYGGGGGCTGCAACCCCCGCGCCGGGGCCACCCTGGCACCTACGCAGCCACCCGCGGGTCAGGATTTCCTCCTCCTGCACAGGACTCGGAACAGAAACGAAAGCAGAGCTCTGTGCAGCTCTGCGCCGCAGCCAGCGCCGGCCGACGGCGGCTCCTGCTTGCGCGGGCGGCTCGGCCGGAGAGCCGTCGCTCCCGCTGCATCCCGGCCTCCCGCGCTGCCGGGAGCGCCGGCAGGGCCGTGGCGCCGCTGCCTCCCCGCGGGGTCACCGGGACGTGGAGCGGGGAAGGAGAAACTTCTGTTTCCAGGCAACCCGAAGCTGCGCTCCGCTGGGATCCGCGCTGCAGGCGCTGCYGCTCAGGGCCGCTTGGGCCGGGGACATTCCCGACGGCTCCGCGCGGCCCGCGGGGCGCTGGGGGAGCCGGGCTAGGAAGGGCRGCGAGGACGGCGCCCAGCCCCACGCCGGAGCAAGGCCGGTCCTCGGGCAGCAGCAGGGCTGGGCACGGGCACCGCYGGCCCCTGCACAGCCGGCACGGACGGGGCGCGCGGCGCCACGAGGGGTGCGGGGACCCCGGCGGAGCGGGAAGGCTGCGAGGAACCCGGGCTCACGTCACGACACGCGGGGGCCGCGACGGAGCAGGACGGGCCACGGCGGCCCTGGGGGGCTCCAGGGCCACAACAGCAACCTGGGCCCGGGGGGGTCCCGCTGCTGGCCAGGCGGGTTCCCCGGCCTCCCCTGGCCCAGCACTGCTCCCCCGGCCCAGCCGGGCCGCCGTGGTGGCCCAGGGGCACTCCAAGGAAGCGGAGTCTGCCAGGGCATCGCCCCCGGCCCAGGTGGCCTCCCACGGACCGTGGTTTGCAGGACATGTCCCCTGGCCCCGGCGGCCCCCGCGCGCCCCCAGACCCCGCTTACTCTTGAGGGCGGCCACGAGCGCCTTGCCGTCCTTGATGAGCTCCTTGATGAACTTGTTGGTCTTGTCGAGCTCGGCCTCGTGCGAGCGCAGCCGCTCGCGGAACTGCGGGCTGTCCAGGCAGCACTCGCTGAACTCCAGCGCCGGCAGCCCCATGCTGCCGGGGGGCGCCGCGCCGGGGAACACGCCGAAGATAACGAGCTACGGGCAAACGGCGCCAACTTAAAGGGCGGAAGGGCGCGGGGGGCGGAGCGGGCCCCGCGCGGGGCCGGGCGCAGCGCGAGCGGCCGGAGCGGAGCGGAGCGGAGCGCGGAGCAGCGGAGCGGAGCGGAGCGGAGCGGCGGGGGGGGCGGCGCTGGGGCCGCCGCCCGCGCCCGGCCCCCCGGCCCGCCCCGCCGCCGCAGCCAATGGGAGCGCGCCGCGCGCGGGCGCGCCCGCGCCGCGCCACGCCCCCTGCCCCTCCTCGCCGCCGCGCCATTGGCCGCGTTCGAACGCGGCACCGCCCCCCGGCCAATCAGCGGCGTCACCTGCGGGGGGCGGGGCGCGCGCCCGCGCCGCCGTGAGGGGACGCAGCCGGATGGAGCCGGTCGGGGCGGGCGGGGGCGCATTCCCGAGCGCGTACCGGGAACCGGGAACGTCCCCGTCCCGCGGCGGCCACCCCGGCCCCAGCGGCCAAGGCGCCGTGGAACCGCTGCGCCGTGCGCCGAATCCGCGGCGTTTGCCCCCGAGGGCCGAGCCGGGCAGCGCAGCCGCGCGCTGCGGCCACAGCCGCCCGCGGCCGCAGCGCGGGGCTCGAGACAGCCCGCGCGCCGGGGCTCCGCAGCCGCCTCGCGCTGCCGAGCCGTCCCGCACATCCCGCCGGGCCGGCATTCCCGCCCAGCTCAGCATTCCCGGCCACGCCGGCATTCCCACCCAGGCCGGCATTCCCATCCAGACACCCGTGAAACACCCCGTGGAGCCGTTGCCAGCGTTGCTTGCCTGCGGAGAACGCCCGCGGCATCGCTGCCGGTGGGATGGCACAGCCGCTGCTCCCAGCCCTGCATCCCAGGAATTGTGTCCCAGCTGCACAGCCCCTGCAGCCCCAGCTCCAGGCACTCGTCCCTGTGCTCCRTCCACAGCCCCGACACTGCCTTCCAGGGTGGCTTCTGAGCCACGTCTTACTTTGCATGAGATTTCCCTAATTATAAAGTGGATGCAACAATAATTAAATGCTTATCTTAAAAGCAGGGTATACAGTTTAATTAGCTGTAATTTGTGCCGTACGCACACAGCCCTGCAAAGGCAAGGGATGTTGTTTGTGTTGTGCTCTTTATTCTGCACTCTGCAAAGCCGCGGCAGCGCAGTTTGGGGTTTTGTCCTGCTGCGCTGCTATTGCTTATGGTAAAAATAAATAAATAAATAAAAAGTGTTCCAAAAGTGTTCCAGCACTTAGAGCTAATAAAGAACCTGTAAGTAGATTTATAGGGCACCGCCTTAGAGGATCAAAGTTCTGGGAACTGAAAACAATTTTTATACCCAACCTCTGCACCTCCCCAGGATCACAGCCAGTATTGTATTGGTGTTATTGGTGTTGAGGCCACTGTTTTCTGATGAGGCCAAAGCCAAGAGGGTGCAAAGCGCTGTCGCAGGAGCAACGTCCCCCGTGCCAGGGCAGGATCCTCGCTCTGTTCCTGTGCAYGGCAGCGGGGAAGGCACCAAAGTGTCCCAGCCAAGTTCTGCTGCGCCCAACTGTGAAACACCAGCTGGAAAACAAACAAAAACTGCACATGGGAACTTCCCCGTTTCCTGTGTGTGGCTGAGCGCTTGCACGGCTCAGCCCATTTGCCTGGCTGCTTTGAGGATCTCAGCAAACGCTTTCTGCCCAGCTTAGCTCATTGTGCGGTCAGATAACCAGTGCACTGATGCAGGGGCACAGACCGCTGCAGTCCCGAGCGAGCGGAGACCGCAATAGTGTCACCTCGCATCAGCTCCGGCTGCTGCTCTCAGCGTTCCCTTGTACAGGCATTAGCTCTTAGTGGGTCATGCAATCAGCTGCATGAGCCACTTTTGTCTGAAAATTAAGTTATTTCTGTAGAATTGGGCTCAGCTGGAGCAGCTCCGGAGTCTGCCCAGCACCACCTCTGCCCTGCTTCCCTCTTGCAGACCCTCCCCGCCACAAGTGGCATTTTGCKGCCTGCTTCCCGTGGCATTGACAGGACCTGCTGTACCAGAGCATCAGCTATGGGCGCTGCAGAGCGCGGCCGCTTCCCCTTTCGGGGGAGTTTTCTGCCGTTTACRTGGGACGAGCGAGGGCTGGCAGCACCAGAGGCAGCACAGGACAAGAGGAGACCCCCACGTCGCCAGGGGCAGGGAGGGCAGCAAGGCCTGCGCTGGGCGCGCGCGTCCCTCTGCCACTTGCACCGGCCTTGGTTTGCAAACGAGAGAATCAGCACCAAAAAGGATCTGAAGGAACGGGAGAACCCGGGTGGTTAAAGCGGCCATTAAGTAGATCCCAAAGCTAACTGATTTGGACGGTAAACATTCATTTAGCTCGGCAGGAGGCTGCAGGAGGCATCTCRGCTATCAACAACCAGGAGCCGCACGCAAAGTTCCTTGAACTCGCCCTCAAGCAGCGGCGTTCAAGGTGCACTTGCTGTGTGGCCACACATCACCAGCTCTCTTGCTCTCAAGGATTTTCCGAGCTGGGCACAGAGCAACCATTGTATATGAGGAAATAAAAGTCGCAAATAATACGTCAGGCCTTTTCAATGRATCGTATAAATCCCCTACTGTAAATCAAAGGGCAGGTATTGACCTATTGCACTGACAGCCTTCTGAGGGATCAGATCATGGGCCTGGRCTGTTCCTCAGTTACAAACACAGCACTCGAGCAGACACTTAGAGCTCTCCCTTCCTTTCCAAGATGGTCATGTCACTCTAGAAATAAGCTTTGGATGTAGTTTTGTGCAATAGATCTGCTCGTGGCTACAAAAAATAATCCTAGAGACACCTTCAATGCAGTCAAAACTGCTCCCTCTACTGAGTCCTAGTGAGCTATACGTACAGCAAACACGATCAAAACCTTCTTGCACATCTTTGCCGTGCAGTGAAACCCAAGTCGCAYCTGCAGCAGTGGTGTCCTTGACTTTCCAATATCATCAAGGGAATTTCTCGATTCCTCTTTTCCTTTTTCAGCTCGAGTCTTCTTTGGTCCTTGCAACCAACCCGGCCTTCAGGAGGACTTGCACAAGTGACCAGGACAGCCCTGAGTGAGGTCCTGGTAGAGAACACAATGATTGAAGCACATGAGCCTCTGCAAAGGAGGCAGAAGCAAACAGGACTGGGCTCCTTAATCCCAGTCTGCAAAACCTCTTAAACTCCTAATTTACAAGTGTTGGTCACTGACCACCAATAGATTTAGAGCAAATCC